GTGTGTGTGTGTGTGTGTGTGTGTTTGTGTGTGTGTTTGTGCGTGTGTGTATATTTATATCTGTTTTCCCAACTCTGACCCTGATGCAATTCAAGCAAAAGTTCTCGACAGTTACTGTTGCATGATCGATGTCACATTTGAAAGTAAGTGAGTTGAAATATGCCGATTACATCTCACATAATGTACAGAAATCTCATAGTTAAAAGTCAGCAATAGGATGGGATGCAATTTTCCCTCTAACAAAACTCCTTGAACGGTATGTAGACTTTAAAAGGGCCCGGCCTTTCAAAAATGTCTGTTCACCGAATGTTCAGACACAGTCTCCCTCCATTTGAAGGCAGGTCGTATTTTGAAAAACAAAAGTATTTCCTGTGAACACACCACCAGGGAACGGATCAAAACGTGTCGATCATTTTTTAGGTGCCGTGCTAAAGATATTAATTCATGGAAAGAGTGGTTTTGGCGAGGAAGTCCGCTTCTATCTGAATGGACACGTGAACACAAGATATCACATTTACTTGAGTTCAGAAAAAAAACAAACAGACAACGTCGTTTACCGAAACCTGCGAACACAGAATGCACAGCGTGGGTTGAATCGAATCAGTACAGATTTATTGGTTCACGGTTGAAGACGATGGTAGTAACACTGACAGCAGATCGTTTGCTGGGAACATTTTGTGGGACATAAGGAGCGGAAATATCAGTCATTCGAGCAAGAGGGAGCAGCTTTGCACACTGCGACTGTGGTCATTGAGTGGAAACAGAATCACTTCAACAAAAGTTGCGGGATACGTTGTGTCAGAACTTCACACTATTCCTACCTGAACCCATGGACTTCCAATCATATTATGGGACTACCTTAAAGACTTAAACTTATAGGTTAAATTTGTGGTCGACTTTTCCCTTCCTTTGTGAACTGAGACAAAACGTAAAACAACTTGCTCGACAAAATCTGCGTAAGCAGTGCCGGAAGGTAATAAATCACGTCTCAACGTCAAGCAAAGGAGACTGTCTCTCGTGACTGCCGCCACACAGAGAACATTCTTTGACAGCCCAGAACATTTTACGAACAGTGGGACTCTCTTCTATACCTTTGTAATGCTAAACCCACAAGTATAGTCCTCACTTTGCTCAATTGACTTACTGTGGCGTCTACGGCTTTTAAAATAATAAAATGAGCACTTGTTTGAATTCCGTCATAATTGGAATACGTGTCACA